ATCTCACTAGGAGAATCCAGATGACGAAGACCAGAGATCTTCCGTCCTCATCTCTTCCCATCAGCAGTGAAGTTAATCAGGATATCGGGCTTCGTCCTCAATTGCACCTACATACCACTCTACAATGTATTCCTAATATCACGGATTCGATCACCCATGAATCCTCTCTTCTGTTCACTGATATTAACTACTGCCTCTGTTTCTACTCTTCCTAACATTTAGTCTGATCTGACCGCATTCCTCTGGACCTCAAACTCTTGTCTTTGTTTCGCCTTTCCAAAATGCCAAGCCCTCTCAGATTAATTCCGGATTCCCCCACGGTATGCTTATTCTTAATGGCCTCCCAATTCCTACTCTTCCCGAACTTGGAAGCTTGATCTTTTTCACGTTCAGTGTGCACCAGTGTGCATGGTACAGACGGATAAGAGTCTGAAAGCTCTGAACTTTCGTTTTCCAATCCTTCCACAATAAATTATGTTGAATTTCAATTTTTAGGCAGTTTGCAAGAATGGTTCTTGTATCTAGCCCTGAATTCGCCCCACACTGTTCGCATGCATTGTGGATGGCTGTGAAGAACGCGCAGCACTCGTTTACTAAGTCACTGTTTCCGGCGTCATCCACATTGCCAAGTCGTCCTCGCAGCTTGTTGCTGCGACTGGATCCTTTGTGGCTGATGAGCATTAGGATTAACCTAGGCATTCTGCATTGTCTAATCTACCGACTGGCCTACACAGGTCCTGAGCGTCTACTTTTTGCTTCCATGGCCCCAAAGGCATCCGCGATTTGCCTCTTCCGGTGGCTGTTTGCCTGCTTGAAATGGCTAAGCTGTTTTACCGGCCTGGCGTCTCCACTGACCGGATAAAATATCTGGTAGCTGGAGTTATATAATAATACACAAACTGCGATTGCGACTGCTTGCTGCCTTGTCACCTTGCAGATCTGGTGGTATGCACGAGGGATGAAAACCTCGTTTGCTGGACGGGTACACCCTGCAGGGACGATTGCCCTGTTATATTGCACCGTGGTGCGTTCGTATACTCGCCACCCCTCCAGTAGCACGGGTGCATCACCCATTGCTGGTACTGTGCGAAGTTCCTGGCTAACTTCGACGTGCAAGGAGTTGCCGCCTACGTCCTGGTTGGGTTGCACCAATCCAATCGTCATCCGGATATAATGGACTCCGCTCCCTTTTGCACATCGAAGCGATTATACACATAAAAATGTAAATTCCTCACTATTCCCTGAATACAAGCAGTCACAGCTAGCGCCTACTGGCAGTTTTTGTAACGTATCATTCGTTTCTTGTAGCTGGCACCAGTAAGTCGACGACTGACGGTCTTTACTATTATTATTATTACTATTATCATTGCCTTCATGTTAGGTTGACATAGACTTCAATTGAGCTACTGTTCTTATCCGGAAGCTGTCACCCGACTGTTTATTACTTGTCTTTGTTTCTATCCGCGTTAACCCTCTCTATCCATAATGGACATTCTGTGTTTGGAAACCATTAGCCACACAATGCTCTTATTCGCAACTTTTCAAGCGAAACAAAACGGCTTGAGCCAAAATGTTGCACATTTTTCGTATGTGCTCACACAAAAAATTATCCTAATCTACTTCAGATCACCGAATTCAATCGTCCACTGAGGTGATCATACCCGTGGCGGGGAAATTCGGGTGGAATACTTCCCAACATCACTGAGACCCTGGAATGCCTGCACGGGGTTCAAAAGTCTGGACTCGTAATCTGAACTCAACTTCCCTTCTTTTGTTCCATCACTTGCACGTCGTACCTTTCAAAAATTCACTTCCATTGTGCGAATAGAGAGTGCACTGTGATTCGATTCCCTAGCTGAAATGAAAAGTACCGCCAAGTAAACTCACCGTGTAATCGTTTGCTCCAACTAGCCCAACGGCAAGTCTTCCTGCTAGCTATCTAGACGACAGTCTTTTATTTTCAAAATCAGCCAACCACTCCGACACAGCTAGTGATTAGCTTTTCGGTCATCCAACAAAATCTACCCATTCCTGGGTTTATTTCATCCCTTTTTGCATTTTTTGCTGATACCGTTTTATCTTATGCCCCCTGACACTCACCAGATGCTACTGCTATAATCCAATTCCTTCTTCGTCCCCCTGTTCTCAAGCTTAAAACTTCGGCTGTGGTTTCCAAACGCCTCGTACAACCATCATTAACTCAATCTGGTTGGTTTTCAGTCTAAATACACGTTTTCCAACTGAATGGAAAATATCTGTGGCTCTGCATCGACTTGCCTCTGTCTGTGTCAACATCCTTGCGTAACCCAGCTTCAGCTGCCAAGGAAGTGTGTATCCTCTGTCTGACTGCTGCATTCTTGACGACCGTTGCGTAGCTGTCCATAAACCGAAGTACGCCAGTACAGTGATGGCATGGCACTGCCATACCCGGTCTGACGGCACTCCCGCGATCATTTTCTTCAGAATCTCGACCGCAATCTCTCGTGCACTCGAGCCTGCATTTGCAACTACGAGCACATTTTTCTCCTGACTCTAATTGCCTTCAGGAGGAGTTCTTTCTAACCCCATAGAACTCGCAACCGGATTTAACCAACCTGGTTTTCTCCAGCAATTCCGCTTCATCTGTTCCGCGTGTTCAATTTCATATGGGGTGTTCGTTGAGTCCCAGGCATTGGCACTATCTTCCAATCGAACCTACCCTCCACGCATGACTTCGCTACAACAGTGACACCAGTGAGTCTAATTAGTTTCAATTTAAACCGTCATCTTGAGATAAAACTTGCCATTTTTCCTTTTTGTAACACTGGCAATTTGTTTACTCAACTGCCCAAATGCACTATTTTCCAGCAATGGTTTTCAGCTCTCGTTCACGATAGAGGGTTTCATCTTTGAACTAGTCGTAACTCATGCTCGCTGTCCTAGTTTTTTGGTTCCCACGACTTCTCACTTGTTGAGAATGCTTATCAAGGGTACAGTCGACTACCCCCTTCCACGACGTGCTGTTGCCCCCCGCGTTCTGGTTGTAACGACACGATCATGCTTCAAACGGCATGTTCCCTGCGAGTTGGAAAATAAACATTCTATTATTACCACTAACTTTTCCCTACCTTCGTTCCTAAACTACCGCCAACAGCCTTTGGACGACCGGCGTAAGCAACTAAACCGAGTGGTGGATAGGCCTTAGGGTTTGTTAGCCAAGAAGGCCACAGCCATTATGAATCGATTCATTGTTCAGGGGTAAATCATCCCGCGCCAAGGCTCAAAACCCGCAACCGGTGGCCTGCCGTCTGTGGTCGATTATATTACGCTTCAACCCAGATAGCGGTCTGGGGACACGGGCTCGGGATTTCGTGTGCTCTGTGATACGCCGACTACTACCAGTGACCGTTGGTGTCCAATGTATCGCGCATCATGTAACGCCTGCTGTGAGGTGTTGCTCTTCAAGCTTGTTCCAATGGTGAATCCATAGAAGAATAATTTACTTTCGGATCTTAGTTCCCGGCCTGCAAAGAAAACGCGGAGGTTTGTCGCTACCTGGTCCGCAAAGATGATGTTGACCTGGACCAACACGCAGGATCCCAGCACAGTGTATCGGGAGTCTGTGTATGTCCTTGTTTTCGGGGCAATAAGGAACCACTCGACAGCCGTGGGTAAATCTCTGACCATTACGACTAACGCTATGGAGCGCCAGCTAGATGAAAAAAAGACAAAGAAGATTTCACTTGCCTGTCAGCTCCAAACAATTTGTCCGTCACTGGGGACTCATGAATTTTATGTGGGTCTCGCGCTTCTCGAGGGTTACGTTCAGTAGGGCACAAGATAGCCGCCGAGGAGGGCGCTGTGTAAACAAGCCTCTACGATAGTTTAGCCACTGAGGTGCTACTATTTTAGGGTAAGTAGTTCTCACAGTTGTTCAGCATCCTGCCCCATGGGGATATTTCGATAGCCTAACTTATATCTGCCTCTAATTTTAGGAGGTTAGTAGCCAACTGAACACTCTGAACGAAGAAGTTCAAGTGCCTCCTGGTAGGACATATTTACTCATCAAAAGGGCGAATAAAACTCAACTTTCTATGTCGTCTATTTTGGAACTTTTCCCCGGAAAGAGGGACGGCCGCACTCCTGCCAGCTTGTTAGGCATCGTCGACGTGATGTACGTAAGTTCCATGTGGCTACCTGATTGGGCATTGTGGACCTCCAGCCGCATCACCTAGGTTCGTTCAGCTGCCACCTACACCCAAGTAGGTTCCATTTGGATAATTGATCAAAATCATGGTCTTTCTGGCATACTACACAAGCTGTCATTGATCACTCTGCTGTTTAGCAACGAAAATGCATGATTCCACGTCAATAATGACAGCGGCTTACACAATTTTTATTTTACTGGTAACAGCAATTATCGTGTAAAAATTACTTACAGGAAAAGCTCCTACACATATTTAGCATGCACAAAGGTCATGTAGATTCTAGAATGTTCAGGGCATTGTCTCAGCTGTAGGGCTATTTTAAAGTTCCGTCCATTGCAAGTGAGTCACCTCTTACCGCAATTCACGATTTCTGATCACATTAAGCAATAGGTGTTTATTGACCATGATGATCCGCACACTTAAAGAGATCACCAATGTAGGCGACTTGAATTACACATGTACATATACATCATACATATATATTCTACGCTATGAAGTGGCAACCCTGAAAATTTCGTAGCTTTCGAGAAATTAATCCCATGGTGGAAATACTGGGCACTTAATCTGTGGCCTGAATATCGCTACGTCATACTGCACGCTGTTCTGGAGGAAACCCGAAATTTTCACAATAGAGTAGAATTTTCAGGATAGTTTTATGTCTTATGAACGCTTCTGCTGATGTATTCCAGCCCTACACTGTTGCACTCATTCAGCGTTATCATATGTGTTTGAGTCTTCCGAAGCGTGCAAAGTAGCAAGAACGGCAGTTTGGCGCGCTGTGTTCGGTTTGCTGGGGGTTTGGCGCGCTGTGTCTATCGCCCACTTTTTGTGCACGTTTTCGTGATTGCTTTCACACTTCCCCTTTCCAGCAACATTTTGCTTACTCCATATCCACTATAAGCAGTATAAATAGCCTCGACCTTCTTTACACAAGCAAAAGCAATTTTCGACAAGATGAAGGAAAGTGCGGTTACCGATGACGGAGTACGGATATGTTCCACGAAATCGAACACGATGCAACTGAGTCTGACAAGCGATATGAGGCGTCAGAAGACTGCTGTGAAATACAACAAACTGTTACGAGATATAGCTATTCTCACCCTAGAAAATGGCATGTTTCAACGGTATATTGACAGAGTTGGTTTATCGAAGTTTGTTTTCAGAAGTATGTCAAATTTAACTGCACCTGCGTGCACTTATAACATTTTGATCTTTGTAAGGTTCTGGAGGTTCTGTTTCGAGTAGCATACGTGCAATGTCAAGGATAATATGTCACTGGTCTGAAGCATCCTCTTTTGGCGCATCAGGGAAAGTAGTACGACTGAACGCTGAAAGAAAGTGCCAGATAGCCAAAGAAGAACAATTAGAATTTCGGAAGTACTTCAGTCTTTTACGCGAAAAGTCCGAAGGTCTCATTGACGAAACTCGAGTAATTCGAAATAGCTCGGTATCTCATTCGATAGGCATCTTTAGAGACGTTTCGTCTCCTATGTGATGATATTTCCCGGCAGAGAAAAGCCTTCGATAAAAATGTGACTATTTTCGTAGATGATTTCACTCAGCGTCAGGTGGCCATTCGCGCATTCGTATGGTTTCACCAGCGTTACATTAAACGAATGGTAAGTAGTTTTTCATGGTTAGTGGAATCTTATTCTCTTATCGGTGTTTCATTTTCTTCGTATGTTGGTTCAGTTGCTGTGAGCCAGTACCTTGCACCTACTTAAGACCAGATGTTTGATATGTTTCGTACAACCAAAAATCTCAAATAGCACCCGTCGCAAGGTGTCGTCATGTTTGCTCCAAACCGCAGGGTTGTCATCATCTATCCCATCAATAGCACTTTTTCTAGGCTTTTGTGTTGGCTGTTTGCCCACTTGTCTTGCATCTTTATTGACGCCGACGGCCGCACGTTAGTCGGCGTCGATAACCTCAGGTATATTGAGACCTATTCCAAAATTTTTTCGCCCTTATTATCTAGCTGCTTCTAATACTCGGATTCTAAGTCAAGCAGGATAACAGTTCGTTGTTGCTCGCCTATTGAATCCACTTTTGTATCGGAAACCAGAAATGAGCATACAGACACCATCTGGCTAACTGTTCATCAGTGTCTTCGTACCTTCAGCTATGCACTTCTAGCGATCTAGGGGCCACCGTAACGGTCTGCAGGGTTCAGAACCGATTGAGGTCGCGGCAAGAAAGGGTCCCTTTTCTACTAGCACCCCGTAGATAGCCACTTGTACGGTTTACTTGGCACTGTCCATGAGACAATCCTATTTGGGAAGTTGGTCACCGTCTGTTTATCGTATCCGCTTAAGTTTCAGCCGACTATAGCTCTTGCGCAATCAAAAGCAAATTTTATGATGCATTGGGTGGCCGGTTTTGGCATGCTAAGTGCTAATGCATCTGGGAATTATTTGTGTGGTCAACTTGGATTGGCCTGGCAATGTAGAAATAGCTTCAAACCACTGCTTCATCTGTGTTCGCCGCATACTCTACGCTATACTAACATCCGGAATAATTGAGATCGTCCGGCTCCATGATGTCCTTCAACAGCGTACAAACCCAAATTGTTCAGATCACCATCAGTCATCGATGGTGTGTTATCATCGACAACGTGACATCAATGTTTATCACCAATGGTTCATCTGTTTATCAATAACCGACTACTTTGGAACTTTTTGCTTGGATTCTGATCATGCACTCACCAGAAGTTGCCTCCCTTTTCCTTCTAGGGGTGAACGACTCGCTTAGTGGCTGAGAGGCTGACAGGTCGTCGAAGTTAAATGAATTAATCAGAACCGTCTTCTGGATTCTTCCACTTGAATCCTAATGACTGGGTGTATCAGGCCTAAGTATGGACCGTCTTGGTGTATGGCTATAATACATCGTCTATCAGAGTAAAGAAGCTGTTTTCATGTCTCCGAAAACCGTTGACTTGGAAAAGCAGATCCTGTGTTGGTGCACAAACATTGACAGTGAGAGGATTAGAAAACGTATCTTTGTGCAACAGAAGCTTCAATCGAGGAATGTGTCCAGCACTAAGACCGTGATGGTCTGAATATGCATTTCGAACGCCTTCAATTACCGAGAAGGATACTGTTTTCCGTGTTGATATCAGAGTGATTCAAGTGGAGTGCGGAAGACTGTACATCTCGCGCGTTTATTTTTAAAGTTTTTGTCACCAGCCGATACCGTTGTGAAGTTGTGGTGTCGTTAACACTTGGATGAATTTGCATGTGAATGGCAATTCTGATGAGAGCGCTTTAAAAAAATAAAAGTCGCTCAGCTGTAACACTTCCGATGCCTAGTTGCCATGCCACTCGAAGGAAGTACGAGGAATCGGATAACACCAGGTTGCCCATGCCTAGACAGGGGAAGTCGAGAGGCAGAGTACGGGAACGAACCACAGAACTTCCGGTAAATAAATTCGCGCTCTAACCAATTGAGCCTTCTCGCCCCGTGAGAGCGCTTTAAGAAAGCGAGACCGGAATATTCGGAATATTAATCAGGTCACCAAGTTACTCAGACAGTTCCACTTGAATCAATAACAGAAACGTACCTTTATATCCAGGGATACCCTTTATGAGCTATGCTTTATTTGTATCATGGAATGATGCCAACCGTAGACTGCTGGATATTCCGCTTAAAAATTAATTTCTAAAGGCTTTCAAAATTGGCTCAATATTCCGACCACTTGAAATACGGATGTTTTACTCAACACGCAACCTTACAAAAGGAGTCGACCTTTTTCCCGTGATAACCTTTTTCAGGTCCTTACACACATGGACATTGAGACTATGAGTCTATAAAAGTGTCTGGTAAATATATAGTCAGGATGGTGCACTCATAACCTGTATCAACGTTGCTGTTGCTGTCTCTTCTGATGATTGTGAGGAGCCTAGCTTTGTTCTACAAAGACAGGTAATATAGCATCCTCCGTTTCACAGACAAGAAGGATTAAACCAAACACATTTATTTTTCTAGGACATATGCCTCCACAACATGACACTAGAAAACAGATCTCTCACAGAGCTGCGCGATAAACTCCTCCGTCATCTTGATGGCCCCGGTCAAAGGAACACCGTAACAGCCATTGATATTTCCGAGATAAAAGTTCGATGGCAAGCCGCATTACAAGAATTTAAGCGGCTCAATCTCCAATGCATACAAGCCAAGCGCATTTTTAGCAAGTGTACACGCAAGCTTGATATGGAAATGGTGGGTCTTCATTTTTGCTTGCGTTTAAACATAATGATTACTTCCGCTTCTCACCTGGATACTTTAGATAGCTCCTTCAAATCAGACTGAAACTGGTAAATAATTACACACGGTTCACTCTTGTGTATGTTTTGCCTGATTAATTTGAAGAATTCAGAGTGATCTCGCGGTAGTACACCTTTAAGAATTGCAGCAAACAAATTGTGGGACCCTGAGAAGCCGAATTTTTATTTCTCAGTCGAAATGATTACAACCCAATCCCAAATGAGTATCTTATTTCTTTTATTCTGCAACCTTTTTAACACATTCGTCTTAAGAATATCACTGAGAGTCATCAATAAGCGGATAGGACGATAAGGCGAACAGTTTGTAAGTAGTTCATTCATACGTGAAGATAATGGGAATACGAGTTCTGAGCCATCGGTGGACTGCTAAATTGTGTGAAAAGTGATGTGGAACGATTGTGCTAATAAAAATGTTCAGTGTTAGTGGATGCATGCGCTGAGAAAGGCTCGTCTCGACCATCTTGACGAGATCGTTTTTGGCCGAATTGGCGGCAGTGTGATGCACAACCCTGTTAGATCCGAGTAAAGAGAAAACGTCGGGAGAGTTGGCTGTACCTCGGTACACTTTCATCGTTCTATTCTAAGGCGATTCTTACGCATGAACTTGTAGACGATGGAATGAAAGACAAAGTGGAGTCAAAGTTCTTTGGATAATCGGATATCCTAGAAATTTTACTTGGCAAAACTTGAGGAACTTTGACCATCCTCACAGTACAAAGAGAATGCAAGCTTGTCTGATTTCGTACATCGAAATGTCTGAAGTGTCTTCAAAACCCTCACGGCGGCGTAGCATAACAGCAACCCTGCGAATAGTCAGCGAAGAACGCTTAACCGAAAAAAATTTGATGCGCTGATGATGACCAATAACCCATGCAAAATTCAGTGCAAAGGCTGTGAAACAAACAAGAACAATGCTTTCTGACGGGTTCCATGAAAACATTTGCTGCTGAAATACGCGACTCGCACTGAGATCGGGATGTACACAACTTCGCCTGGAGAAGTGTTGACCCGCCCCTTCCGATCATGCTCTTGTTCGCTGCTACTTCTCATCGCGCTTTTCAGGTCCATGCAAAATGCACGCACCTCGCGCAGTCATTGAGAATTTATTGGACTCAGAAATCATACGAAGCTATGAGAAACATCTATTTGAATGCCTTCCGGATGGTCCGATGTTGGACATCAACGGCCACCGAGAACAGGTACCTAAAGCGCTACTCAAAGCTGGAAATTCTGTTTGTGGTACAACCCAGCCAACCTCAACAAAACATCGAATGCTTAATGGGACAGTGGCATCTTCCGACGCTGGGTGAAACTCAGTGTCCGTTCTGACGACATAGCTTGGTAGACCAGAAAAGTCAAAGAAACTGAAGAGGAAGAAATGTTGGAAACGTCCGCAGGCTGTTCCACTTTATTTGTTCGACTTGTGCTCGGAAGCCTCTTGTCAGCTAAACCATCAAGAACCCCAATGACTGCCTGATATCCGGCAAAGAACACTTGAACCGTTGGGCACAGCACTTCGAACAACAACTCAGTTGGCTACCTGCTACCTTCAGTCTCGATTGCCGGACTTCATTAAAAAGATGGACTGTAAATATGGAGTTCCTCCCAAACCCAGAGGTGTCTGGCTGTACATCTGCACTCACTTGTCATCGCGCTCCATGTCCTAAGGACCCTCCGCCTGCTCTGTTCAAGGATGACGGTGGATTTCTCAGCCAGTACTTGTCTTCCTATTTGTCTATATGGGAGAAAGAGGTCGTTCCAGGTAGCTGGGATGATTTGATAATAGCGATCACCTCAAAAAACGCTACTTGCGGTGAATATGGTAACCACAGAGGTGGTAATCTGACTCCCGTCGTAACAAGACATTTGGTCCTACTGATTCTCCATAGGTTAACGGTGGCACGCGAAACATTGACCTCTGATCATCGGGCGAGATTTCGACTGGGTAGAGGCTCTAACACATATGATGTTGGACCAACAACATATGTGCAGTTGACTCAATCTTGGTGTTCCTTGATTTCACTGGTGTGTTTGATTCTGTCGATCGGCCAGTGCTGTTAACCCTACCTGCTCAGAAGGGCATGCCCCGGAAATTGCTGAACATAATCAGTCCATACGGTCACATACTTTGGGGTGTTAGAGTGTGTGATGAGCTCCTTAGAAGCTCCCCTACAAACGAACTAATGAGACGGACTCTAGAAGCCTTTCAAAACTTCGGTGTTCCAGTCATCGCTGGCGAGGACCTTATCGACCTGGAGTACGCAGACGGCATCGCCCTTATCTTTGAAAACGTAGGCGTGGCAAAGCTTTGCTGAATACCCTGACTACCACCATGCCATCTTTGAGTAAGCGCCTTGCACCTTCAAATTTCAAAGTCATGTTTCAGAGCATACAGCCTCTGGACATAGCTCTAAAAATTCAAGGAGAATCCTTGGAGGTTGTTGACTAGTAGTTGTATTGGCTCTGACGCAACTGTCTGCTGAAGTCAGTGCACGAATCTCAAAGGCCACAATAACGTTTATTACTTTGCATCATTTGTGGTGCTAAAAGACTGTGGTGTAACAAAGAGACTAGACCTTAATGTGTTGTGAGAGTTTGCGCACCTCAATGACCCAGTGAGCTACACTGAGTATCTCCGCGACACAGTCTCTCGTGGCAGTTTAGTCGATGGCTAGAGTTCTGACAAACATTCTCCCGGTCCTCCACGTTTTGGGGTTAGAATATGTGGCGACTTGTTCTGTAGAAATTGTACTGCCTTTGCATTTTCCGCTAAACACCACTGAATTGCGGTTAGGCTTTTGAGCCAAAGGTTTTGGTTGAGGACCCTAATCCTCCTCTTGTCTATGTATGGAGGCACTGACAATATCCCAGCAACGTACAACCCATTAATGAGTTTCCCCTTGTAAGCCCGGCACTTAGGACCGATGACTTCGTTCGTCTTGCATTGGTTTTGAGTGCAGCATCTGCTTATCACATGGCACCGACATCCTCAGGTATCTCGAAATCAATCTTCAAGCCTCAAGTCTATCTGGGCACCATTAATTTTCGCACTCTAAAGTAATTAAGACAGCGCGGTGCTCGTATTCTCACACTGGGTTCGTTTAGCATTGATGTGTGCTGTGCATGAGAAACAAGAATTGAAGATGCAAGCACAATGGTTGAGCTAACCGCCCTATCAGTCTCCACTCGCTTCTGCCTACGCACCTCTGGCGATTCAGGAGCTGCTGGGGCAGGATATGCAGGAATTTGTATCGCCATAAGTCACCGGGCGGAAGAATCCTTGCTTGAATGGATACCCGTTCATAGTCGGCCTATGTGCGGTTCGTCTGGCAACGTCTTCAAAGGAGTCTCACAATTGTGAAGTTGATCGATGTCCATTCATCGTGTCTGCTTACACCCCAACCAGCTGTAGCTCTGACACCATCAAAAGCAAGTCATATGACATCATGAACATCCGTTGCGGCCGGCTGAAAGCTCAGTTATCGTTGTCGTTGGCGGAGATCTGGCTGCACACTTGGACAGGCCTAGCGCATCGAAGATTCAGCTAAGTAGTCTACATGGATTTGTTCCGGTATGTACGGACAGTGGTGAACGATTGCTCAAGCTATAGGCTAATTGCAGGCTGTTTTTATGCAGTACTAACTTCCGAAATAGATGAAGTCGTCTGGCCACATGGTGTCTTCGTACTGGGACTACATTACCACCTCTTTGCATAGTGCTGGAAATTTCGCCTTCAGCACGGCACTCACGCACTGGATATCACACCGAACGGTAGCGCTGCTTAAATCGCGGAGTATCTCAGCCGGTCACGAAAATAACTTGATCCGACTAACTGTTAGACGTCAAATAAAAGTGAGCGTGCGAACCGACTGTGAAGTGTGATGGACAAAGAAAACCAAGGAAACGGAAGAGTACCGCGGAGCCTGGAAAACTCGGAGATTTTATCAGTTGATCCGTGTGACCAGTTTCCGGAAACCATCTGTAAGTAAAGCCATCAAGAATCGGAATGGAGTGACAATCTTGAACAAAAAAGGCCACAACCGATGGGCCGAATGCTTTGAACAGCTTATCTGAAGCCTACGTTTGACGTAATACCCTGGACGGTGAACGTGGAACCTCCTATGGCCTCGGTGGTGTACAACTGCATATGTTCTCTCAAGCGCTACCGAGCTTCTACTTCGGATAACCTCTCACCCGCATTGTTCAAAGACGGGAGTTAAATCCTCACTCAGCGCTTGTATGATCTGTCTGCGTGCAATGGCCAAAAGGATTCTGTCCCAGAAAAACTGGAGAGAGTCGGTGATAGTGCTGATTTTCAAAAGGAGATTCGTAGTAATTGCGGTATCCACGGGTATATAAGCTTAATCCCGATTGTAGCAAGGCTGTTCGCGTCACTTGTGCTTCGTTGCCTTATGTTGGCTATTGAAACGCTGATTCCAGAGCAGCAAACGGGTTTTCGGCTTGGTAGGGGTTGAGTTGACCCAACCTCCACACTCCGTCAGGTTCTGTAACACCGCCATACGTATAGGTGACCCACAATCCTAGTATTCCCGGATTTCTAAGGCGCATTCAACTCGGTTGTCTGGTCCGTTCTTCTTGACAGACTTGCCCGCCAAGGAGCGCCCCGGAAGCTCGTGAACATGAGTTCTTTGTATTCTCGGACTTCAAGACGTGTGAGGGTACACAGCGCTCTCTCGGAAATCTTCCGTACACAAAGCGGTGTCCGTCAGGAATGCCCTCTCTCTCTCGATTCCTATTCAACTTCGTGATCGATGAAATTATGAGGTGAACGCTGGAAGGTCTCCAAAACCGCGGTGTTCAAATAGCCTGTGGCGAAAACCTTGTCGATCTGGGATATGCAGATGACATCGTTCTCGTCTTCGAAAAGGAGGCAAAGGCACAGGTGCTCTTGGATGATTGACCAATGTCATATCA